AGGCCTGGAGGCAAACCTCAGCCCTTTCATTCCTGCCTCCTCTCTTGCACCACCTCGGCTCTGCACAACAGGGTTGCAAAAAAAATTCCAAAAAACCAAGGCATGTGGGAGCCGCTCTATTAGGTCTCCTTTAGCGGACAGGTCTGGGGCGGGTGGGGAAATCTGCTTGCCTCCATGCTCCTTTAACCCCAGCTGGGTGGCATGAGGTGCCGAGCAGCTGGCAGGTGTCCCCAAAAACACAGGCAAAGCCTTTGGGTGCCCCGGTGCTCTGCTGCTGGGCTGCAAACCTGTGTTACCTCAGATCCTGGGGAGGGGGCATCCAGCCTTTCCCTCTCCATCTCAGAGAGGGAGGACTTTCTTCAAGCAGCATTGATTTTGCTCTGGTTCTTTGAAGGAGACCAACACAAGCAAGCAAGCGCTGGGCTTCTTTACAAGCCAGTCCTGGGGCCAGGGCTTTGAGCTCAGATGCCAGCCACGCTCAGCCTGGCCGGCTCTTTGGCCAAAACCGCCCGCACGTGCGCCCAAGTCTCCGCACGAAGCCTTCGACTGCTTTTGCAACATCAGTTCGGTATTGCGGAAAGATGGATCACGCTTCGCTCCCTTCCCTCTCTCCCTGCTCTCGGGACACCCTTTAACCCGGGGGCTGTGGCAAAACGCCGAACAGCGGCGCTCCTCTCGCCGACCCGAGCCAGGGAGAGATTCCCAACCCAAAGCGGGCGTTGATTAAACAGAGCAGCGTAACAGCACAGGAGCCCCTTTCAACGGGGAGGCGGCAGAAGGCAGATCCCAACACGTTGGGCTGTTGCGGTCGCTCGGCGGTTGAGCGTCACGGGCTGCCGGCAGCGAGACGCGGGGATCGGGGCCAGCGTATTGTGGCTGGGAGCAGCCCGGGGAGGCCGTGCCGGTGGGGAGGCTGGAACGGGAAGCCCTCGCTGCTGCACTGGGGAAGTCTTGAGCTTGTAGGGAAGCACGTGGCGGGCACTTGAGCAAAAAATGGGGTTTAAAAATCACTGCTACCACCACCTTATTTACCTTGCGGTTTTGAATGCTGTGGGAGAGGCTCTCAGGCTTTTCTCTGCAGGTCTGTAGAGCAAAGACCATTTAGAAGCTAGTAAAGAGCAACGCGCCATCTGCACAGAAACACCTGGCTCCGAGAGGCTCCCTGCAGAAAACCCACAAGCACAG